ATTTTAATTTTAACCATTCATTATTATTACATTTTTCATATAAAACTAATGATTTGATCTAATATACGTGGAATATAAGTATAAAGACAGGGGAAGGGTTAAATATTTAGATAAAAGCTTTAATTTTTTTGAGACTTGCATAACGACATAACAATTTAATTGTTCAAAACGGTCGTCAAAGGTCGAATGTAGATAAAAAATGCAACAAGCAATCCTTTATTTGTCACAAAAGTGATCTAATGAAATCATTCAATTTTTCTGCTAAAATAATAATTTAATCGGTCAACTAAAATTTTATTATAAATATGTTATTGTCTGCTAAACCCTAAACGAAATAAAACAATAATTCTAATTCTAATTCTCAAGCCTTCTATATATCATTAATTTCATCGTAATTTGAAATAATTTAATATATATTTTTTTTAATATTTTTTACATATATTTTTCTGATATAATGTTGATTTAACGATAAATTGTAGTTATTTAATGATAAAATATAATTATTTGGCTGATATTTAATTTTGACTGACTCACTTAATTTAGTGCTGTAAAAAACTAAAAATGATATATTTTTAAATATAGATTAATCAAATTATTTTAGATTAACATCAAATTAATAAGATATATAAATTTTGCAATTAAAAATATTATAATATCCGATCATATTAAAATATTTAAATTTGACAATTAAAAGATTTATTGTGATAATATATTTAATTAAATAATTAAATTATAATTTTTCTAAAATAACTAACTTATAATTAAACTAATAACTAAATTACCTCAATTGTATTTTACATAGTTATATTAGAATCATAATCACCATACCATATTAAAAAAAGGTAAATTATGCATTTAGTACTTAAATTATTAGTTTCGGTCTATTTTAGTATATAAATTATCAATTTTTCAAAACCATACCTAGCATTTAGTTTTTGTTTCATATTAAAAGGTATTATAAGTTTAATACCTAAAGTATTTATTTTGATCTATTTTAGTACATAAAATTTTAAAAAAAAATTCAAAACTTAAAGTTAAATTTTGAACATAAGTACTAAAATGAAACAAAAATTAAATTTTAGGCATTATTTTGAAACAGTAGAAAGTTTATGCATTAAAACGTGATAAAATTAATAATTTAGACACTAAATACGTAATTTACCCTAAGAGAGGCCGAAGTGAAGACCCGTTAAATAAAACAGAGAAATTGGGGGGAAAGAAGGCGGGTATGAGTTATGGCCCTGTTGGGGGGACCACTACCCATGTGCCCTTCCTCATGTCTCCACCAGCCACTGCTTCTCTCTCTCTATCTCTCAAAACACCTCCTTCTAGTGGTGTAAACGAGTTAAATCGAATTCGAATATTAATGAGCTCGATTAGACTCAAAAACTCTGAAATAGAATTTAATTCGACTCGAACTCGAAATCCTAAACTGAAACTCGTGAGTAGCTCGAAAAGGCTCGAAATGGAAAAAAAATCTTAAACTTAACTTGATTGAAGCCTCAAACTCGAACATAAACTTTAAGGGTGCGTTTGGTTCACGGAATGTAAGATTACCAGTGGGAATAAAAGATTACCAGGGAATATGATTACTGGGAATGTTACATTACTGTGTTTGGTTGGTTTGCCAGGAATGTAAGATTACAGTGTTTGGTTGAAGGAATAAAAGATTACTGGAATGTATATTTTACCAAATTGTCCTTTTTTTGTATTTTTTAATAAGTGCAATTCTAAATATTTAAATAAAAATTATTTATATAAAATTTTTATTTGTTGATAATATATTACTTGAGTATTTAAATATATCATATATTATTTAAAATTTTAATTAATATTAATATTATTTAACTAAATGTCTATATTGTGAAAATTCTTCATAGATATTTATAATAATAAAAAGATGTAAATCATTTTTGTTATCTAAGATATAATATTTATTATATATTCTGTATACAATAATTTATTTATTTATTTATCTTTTATATTTATACTTAATTCTGCATACTTTATCATTAGTATTTATCTCATGAATTTATATTACAAAAACATAATTTAAATAAGTAAGAAAATGGATTACAAAACAAGTGGCAATAAAAATGTATTCATTTAATTTTCATTAAATACGTTTAAATGAAATAAGTTTATAAGATGTATGACAACTCCAGATTGAATAAGATGTATGCCAATTCATTTAATTTTCATTAAATAAGTTTACCTGAAACAAGTTTACACGAAATGAAGAGTCCAAGATTGAATAAGAACAAAATCACCCTTTATCATCTCCTGGGAGCGTCCAAGAATGAATTCATTTCTCTTCCGACAGCTCCAGATTCAGTCCGAGTCCGAAACTTTTCGATTTCTCTTTCTATCTGAGCATCGGAAGGTACATACAACTGATAAAGAAAATTTACTACAAAACGGGGAATTAGTGCAGCCACAATGATGGCAAGCAAACACAACCAGAACAATCCTGTCTTTGCAATTTCGAAGATGGCCTTGTCAAAGCATAGTAGTGCCGAGGGTCACAACATTATATACAATGGAAATTATATATATATATATCAACGACCCATTTACTCTATATGAATAATTAATCAACCAAAAGGTCATAATTGAGATGTTCTAGCCTCGAGATGACTGCTAAGTACATAAATATAGAACTGGGGAAGATCATGCTTACATAAAAACATCATACATGCGTACATGTATTTATATGCATGTTCACATGAGCACACACTTACTTACTAATCCGTATGACATATCTGGATAAAAAAACCTTGAACATGAAATCTGCCTGAACCTAAGTTGACCTGAATTGACTAAAAGTCTAAGACCAAAACCAGATGGTTCAAACCCAAAGAAATTTGAACAAAAAATTATCCGAATTCAAAGTTCATCCTATATTTGCCACCTCTATCTGTACATATCTATTTATACTTGTAGAACAGTATGTTGTTTTAGCAGGCAAGTAAAAATCTTAATGTTTTAAGGAATTTTATGGGGAAATATTTCTCTACATGCTCAATTAAAGTAAATAAAACCTTGGAATACATATACGATAAAAAGAGCTTACCAGTAACCAACTAAAAATGGTAAAGAATCAATAACGATAACACAAATGAAAAGTTGCGATTATAGATCCCCAAATGGCTGCATGAAAGTTGCGATAAAAGGAGCTTACCAGAAAAGCTTTTTGTTGTAGCATTCATGTCTTTGCTCGGCACCATACAGCTGAGGGTATTTTAAAAGAGACCTTCGGATCAGTTCCTTATCAAGAATACCGACCACAATCCTAGGCAACGATGTGTAGATTATGGAATACAACACACTGCTCCACTCAGTGATTGCAGTGGTCAAAGTGAAACAAGTAAATAGCACATACCTGCAAAGAAAAATAAAAAAAATACTCGGCCACAAATAAATTTCAGCTTCTATTCTGAACCAAGTGTAAATAATGATTTTCAAAACACTCGTATAAATCAGGCAAAGATGACATTATTGCCTTGAACCCTGTTTATCCTGATAAGTAGCAGACGATGCGATGAATCTAAGGTGAAAATCGAGGTTCACTTAAACCACCAACATGCTCGAACACCAAATCTAAATTGAATATATGCATGCAAAAATGAAGTATCTAAAAGTAACTCACCAAAATAAAACAAGGACAAACACAACATTCCTGTAAAAATTGTAAAGGATCATGTAGCCCATCCTCTGGTAATTCTAATTGCCATGGACCAACAAAAGAGGGACTAAGAATCTGAACTACCCTATTGTAAAATCTGATGCCATTACAGCTTTCATACCTTCCTGGCCACTGATTCCAACCACGACATCCGACATTTGGATCATTGAAACATCATTTGCACCTATCAAGCATCCAATAGTATGGATTTAATTGGTCCAAACTCCAAACCACCAGAAAGAAAAATCAATAGATTGATGATTACCATCCTCAATCGCAAGTGTCATGTCTGAAGTCCTCTTCTTTAAAAGGGCCACAATTACATGCTAACTGGAAGAACAGATTATTTGGAAATTTCAATTCTATAACTATTATTTAAAGCTGAAAAATCAAATCAAAACAAAAAATTAAAAAAAAAACATGGATTCAACAGGAATCCAAAAAAACACAAACACCCAAACCAAAAAAGAATAAAGATAAGCAAAGGTTGAAGGAAAATGAGCAACCTAAAAGCATATGAAGTGAGTAAGAAGAACAAAGGGTAAATTTTTGATCGAGAATCGGATATTCCTCCAATCTGTGTCGTGGAGTTCAAGAACAAAGAACGCTTGGGAGAAGAAACAGAGACAAACGGGAAAAGAGGATATTTTAGCCCTTAGCACACAGGAATAAAAGAATACCTACGAAAAGCAAGGGATTAACATTCCCATTAAAAAGATAAAATTTTTTACTGTTTGAAATATATTATTACTCCCTATTGGGAATATTTCCCATCCAAACACAGGAATTTGAATCTGGAAAAAAAATTCCCACCAGGAATCTTGAATTCCATGATCCAATCACCCCCTAAATACATGAAATCTTACTTTATTTTTTTTAAAGAAATCAATACATAAATATTAATATTATTAATAATTTATTTTTAAAAAAAATAAAATCTTAATATATTATATTTTCGAGCTGATCGTGAGCTTTTCGAGTTGAATATCGAATAACTTGTTTCGGCTCATTAAGAACTCGAGTCGAGCTCGAGTCCACTCGATCCGAATATTTATCGAGCCTTAATTGAGTTGATCTCGAATAGCTCACGATCTGTCTCCTCTCTTTTACGTCTCTACCTCATTCTCTTATCTGTGAAAAATTCCGATTCCAAATTGATTTTTTTTCTTTCAAGTTTTTTTTGGTTTATCTCCATTAATCTCTTCACCAGTAATAACCCCAAACAGCAAAGATATACTATATATTTTTTTTTATTTCAGTGTAAAAGGAAGTGAAGGGTAAGTGAAAAAAAAAGAGTGTAGGTAGTAGTAGTAGTCATACTTCTCCTTCCATGTCGAATTCAGATGGTACCGGAGGTGTTACAAACGCAGCCTTAATGGACTCTCAGAGAGAGCAAACGGTGCCGTCCACCAATGGTTCGGTCCCCGTTAAGAAGCCGCCCACCAAAGACCGTCACAGCAAAGTCGACGGCCGTGGAAGGAGGATCAGGATGCCCATCATTTGTGCCGCTCGTGTCTTCCAGTTGACTCGCGAGTTGGGTCATAAATCCGAATGTCAAACCATTGAGTGGCTCTTTCGTCAGGCCGAACTTTCTATCATAGCTGCCACTGGCACCGGGACCACCCCCGCCAGCTTCTCCAGCGTCTCGGTTTCCGTTCGCGGCGAGGTTAATTCCACTTCCTTGTCGTCGACCACTTCTAAGCCTCTGCTGGGTCCCACTCCTTTTATACTCAGGAAGCGCCTTAGGTCCGACGACGATAACGCCGGGAAGGACGATTCTAGTGGGCTCACCGTTGGAGCAGGCGGCGTGCGGTCCATTGTGGGACCCGCGGGTACGCATACGCATACGGCCGTGGAAGGAGGATCAGGATGCCCATCATTTGTGCCGCTCGTGTCTTCCAGTTGATTTGCGAGTTGGGTCATAAATCCGACTGTGAAACCATTGAGTGGCTCTTGCGTCAGGCCGAACCTTCTATCATAGCCACCACTGGCACCGGGACCACCCTCGCCAGCTTCTCCACCGTCTCGGTTTCCGTTCGCGGCGGGGTTAATTCCACTTCCTTGTCGTCGACCACTTCTAAGCCTCTGCTGGGTCCCACTCCTTTTATACTCGGGAAGCGCCTCAGGTCCGATGACGATAACGCCGGGAAGGACGATTCTAGTGGGCTCACCGTTGGACCAGGCGGCATGGGGTCCATTGTGGTACCCGCGGGTACGCATACGAATGGGTTCTGGGCTCTTCCGACAAGGCACGACTTTGGTCAATTGTGGAGCTTCGCGCCTCCTCCATCGCCGGATATGATGGTGCAGACGGGTGCTCAGCAACCTGCTGCTGCGTTGTTCGTTCAGCAACAGCAAGCTATGGGAGAAGCGTCGGCAGCGAGGGTCGGCAATTATCTTCCCGGTCATATAAATTTACTAGCTTCACTTTCCGGTGCTCCGGGAGGATCGGGTCGGAGAGAGGAGGATCCGCGTTGAATTCCGGTGGTCCGTCTTACCCGTATTGTTGTTGGGAGTGTATATATGTTATAAATATTTGTGTATGGTTGTCGCTTTTGTTGTGTGTGAATGTTGAAGATGATTTCTAGCTGGAATTTTAGGGTTAGGGAATTAGGGTTTTTAGGTGGATAATTTGGAGCATGGAATGATTAATATGATTCGGGTTAGGGTTTTAGAGCATTCACAATTGTTTTAGGGTTGTGAGGGATTTTGTTGGAAGAGAGGGAGAGTCAAGAATTAGGGTTTTGGTGATTGTAATTTCGCCACCGGCTGCCTGCTGAATTTGGGATTTGTTTTTTGACTAGTCAAGTTTGTTAATAAAAATTTTATGAGAATGATTTTGTGCAAGGAGTTGCTCATTCTTTTCTGCTTTGAAGAAGAAACCATGTAGGTCTATTTCCCATGTTGAAATTGCATTGTCAGAATTCGAATCGGTCTAACCGATATCAGGTGGCTGATGCCGACAACCCCAGATTTGCTCTATGACAGGGATGCTAATGGTGTTTGACAATTACTAGTGTCTTTGCTGCTATTGGGATAGCTTAGCATTGAACGTTATGGCTCATGATGTGCCCTATCCCCAACTTTCATCGTCGGCGTTGGCTACACGATCGGTTCTGCCGTGTGAAAGATAAAAGGCTTCGGCTCTGCTCCTCTCCGTAAGACCCCTGTTTTGGAAAAAATTTAGCCATTTCTTAGATTTTTTTTTCAGCTTGCAAATAATTTGTTCACTATATAAGTTGTGGATTGTTTTGGGTGCGTGTTGTGTTAATAAAAGAGACACATCTGTTGTTCCCACTTCCAAGTTTCATCTGCTCTGCTAAATTATATTTCAGCTATGCAATGCTCGATTTGTGTTCGGTTTATCTGTTTTTTCATAACTGGCTTGCTCAGTCTTGTTTGATCACCGACGAGTATCGTATTCGATGGTATTCAGTAAGCCAGATCACATTCAAACTTTGGCTTGCAATTGTTTCAGACTGTCCTTCAAAATTAGTTAGCATTAACTACTGCAGTGGATTTAACTGAATTGGTATTCAAATACAAGTTGTGGATCGGAAATGACTGCAGTTAATTCAAAGGTGGGAAATAAATTTCCTAAAGAGTAAATGTGTGGTGAAATCCATGCAATGCAATGGCTTGAGTTTTAGCCATTTTTATGATGCAGGCGTGATGGTGACTGTTTTTGTATTTTTTTTTCTCCAACGGATCAAAACGGTGAAAGATATTGCAGTTTCCAGGAAAAGAAAAAAAGCAAGGGGGAAATGGGCCTCTCAAGAGTTAATTGTACCGTAAATCCCTATATTTTATATTGGTCTCCAATATTTGAAATTTCTTAATTAACCCCATATTATCAATACCATTTCAAACACATCATTATGTTAGTTTAGCAAACTATTTGACCATTATTTCAACTTGGGTTCGATGTGGAGTATATTTAAAATTTTGGGATTAAATTTTAAGCACATGTTGCATGAATAATTTGGACCTATCATTAAAATTTAACAAAGTTATTTTTTAATGGACGAGTCTGTCATGTTTGATGAGTACTATGAACGATGAGTACCGTTGTGTACCATTAATTTAATTTATAAAACTTTAAAATTATAAAGTATTTAACATATAATTATAAATTAGTTAAAATGTAAAGGTAAATTATTTATATTATTTTCAAAAAAATTTTAATAATAATTGGATCAAATATCAACCCTAAATTAAAAACCCTAAATATTTTTTCCTTCCCATTGAAGTCGTCGTCGTTAACCTCTTTCACCGATGAGATAGTCGTCGACGTTCATCCCTCCCTACACGGTAAAATAAGCTTTCTTTATTTTTATTTTGTTTTGAACTTGGAGGGCGGGTGCCGCCTCACCAGTTGTTGGCACCTTGACCGGCAATGGTCGCGGTTGGCCTTGTACGATGACCGACATCCAATTTAATTTTCCACTAAACCACTAATTCCCAAACTCTAACCATAACCATAACCTTAATTTCTAATTAGGCCAAATTTATATCCCTAATTCTCAAATTGAGTACTTTAATTCTCAAATTATAACCCAATTTTTAAATTTGAACCCTAATTTCTAGAATAAAATCGTAATTCCCAAATCCAATTATGAATTTCCAAACTAAAACCCTCAACTGTATCGGTACGATTTTTCAACTGTATCGAAATTGGGTAACATAATACCGATATTGGATGTGTATTGATACAATAATTAGCTAATGAGTACAAGCATTGCCAACGTTTAAATTATTATTTATGGCTATGTAAAGAGTGTTGGATGTATCATTCCAAGTAGCAACATTTTGTACAAAATTCTGCGTTCTTTAGGCATTAACTACTCCAAATATTGCTTGTACGCATGACTTATCATATCAATTTCTTTGGAAGTTTCTGATAACAAATCACCTACCTCATATTTATACTGTATGAAAAACATTTAACCCTTAAAAACGATAAAAATTAAATATAAACATTAAAAATGTGTTTATACATACCTTTGTATTCACTTTAGAAGTTCGAGCTCTTTTTTTTTTGATGTCATATCTTTCGAATTTAGATCATCAGTAAAATCAAAATGTGAAGATAAACATATCACACTCTTTTTCTATTGAGAGTCTTTCCTCTTTGACAAAGCCTTAGGAATGTTGGGCATTTTAAACCCCATATTCTTAATGATTAGAATTTCCTTCAACTTAATTATTTGACTAGAAAATCGATGGGGACTAAATTGAAAGTTAAAATCTTGCTCGGAATTTTTGGGAGACTATCACTGTCAGTCTTGATGTTGTCCTTAGAATTAACTTCGAGTTTTCTTTTACCAATACATTCTAATGAGGGAGAAGAATATACATGATCACTATTAATAAATGGAGACAAACTTGATTTTTTAATACGACTCTCGATTCCTTCCTTCAATGAAGTGACACTTAATCATCCTTCCTTGTGTGGTTTATTTTTTTAAACCCTCATATTTCAATGGACCACTATGTAAATTAGTCTCTTTTGATCTATTATTTAAACCATCATCCTTTAATGATCGACTATATATATCTTCTCCTTTTACTGAATCACCATATTATATTGAACTTTTAATATTGTTCAGTATTAATATGGTCACTTAATTTTTCAAATTGGCCACTTATTTTTAAAAATTTACCATTTAAATTTTTAATTGATAATTCACTTTAATAAATTCCTTTCCAATATTTTACATTGAATGAATGAGTGTCTCGAACATGTAATCACTATGATAAAGATTTCTTATCTTTTCCTCATGTACAACTTCATTTTTTTCATATATATATATATATATATATGAAATAAATAAATAAATATAACAATAATCTTAAATAATATATATTGACAAAAGGAAATTCAACATTGTTATTAAAATTTTAGTTAGTTATAATGAATGTACCTCGTTGTTTGTCTTCTCTAAATTCACATCGATATGACGCTTAGACTCCATCATCTTAATTTATTTTGAAGACGTTAAGTTTAGATCTATCATCTACGTTAAAAAGATAAACTCTAAGCCCACATGCATTTGAACTTAACACAAAATTCCAAAATTAAAGCATAACGTACTAGTATTGTGTACTATAGTACTGGTACATAGTTCAAAAAATTCCAGTAGCTAATTATTGTATCGGTAGGCATCTAGTATTGGTACTATGTTACTCGCGTATCAATACAGCTGAAAAAATGTACTAGTATAGTCGAGGGTTTAAATTTGGGAATTAGTAATTGGATTTGGGGATTATGGCTATAATATAGAAATTAAGGTTCAAGTTTGAAAATTGGGATGCTTAATTTGGGAATTAGGGATCTAAATTTGGCATAATTAGAAAATTAGGGTTAGAGTTATGATTAGGGTTGGGAATTAGGGGTTTAGGTGAAGATTAAATTGGGCCCAGTCGCAACCACTTTCGGTAGGGGTGTTCACTGTTTAATTTTAATCAAACTAAACGACTGAATCGAATTAATTCGGTTAAACGGTTGGTCACCGAAATTAATTCAGTAGGAGAGTGATTCATTTTTTCTAAAATTGGGTTAACGATTAATTCAATTCGAAAGTGGTCAATTAACCGAATTAACCAAAATTATATATATATATATATATATATATATATATATATATATATATATATAATATATATATATATGATTTCAGACTTCAGCCCATACCCGTTTAAATATTAAAACCCAATTGAATTTTAAACCTAAGTAAGACTTAATGATTTTTAAAGGCTTAATATCAAAATAAGAGCCCAAACTAAATCATTTTCTTCCAAATAGCTGCTTAAACTATTTTTTGACTTATCCAAGTGTCTCACATTACAAATTTATCCATTTAGGTTCTCGAGCCATCAACGACATTAATTTCTCCCGTTAAGTGAAACATGCCATAATCTGTTGATTTTAAATGTTTTTTAAAATAAAATATTAAAAATATTATGATATTTAAAAAAACACTAACTTTTCTTATATTATAAAACAACCCCCAAAATTCTAACCTTAATTCACCATCTCCTCCCTTTTCGACCACAACCACTGCCACCAACATAGTCCTGCCATTCTCCTACTCATACGTCATCGTAGTTTCGATGATTGGCCATCAGAATCACGTAGGAACACAATTCTCATCCTAGGGTTGGTACATAGTTCAAAAAATTCCTGTAGCTAATTATTGTATCGGTAGGCATATAGTATTGGTACTATGTTACTTGCGTATCAATACAGCTAAAAAAATGTACTAGTATAGTCGAGGGTTTAAATTTGGGAATTAGTAATTGGATTTGGGGATTATGGCTATAATATAGAAATTAGGGTTCAAGTTTGAAAATTAGGGTGCTTAATTTGGGAATTTGGGATCTAAATTTGGCCTAATTAGAAAATTAGGGTTAGAGTTATGATTAGAGTTGGGAATTAGGGGTTTAGGTGCAGATAAAATTGGGCCCAGTCGTAACCACTTTCGGTAGGGGTGTTCACTGTTCAATTTTAATCGAACTAACCGACTGAATCGAATTAATTTGGTTAAACGGTTGGTCACCGAAATTAATTCGGTAGGAGAGTGATTAATTTTTTCTAAAATTGGGTT